TACTGAACTAAATGCTGGGTGTGGACAAGTGGGGGCGTGTTCTGAAGTGGAGACGGGTGTGTAGCCCACAATAGAGGCAGATGACAGAAAAGGCTAGCGAGGAAGGTTTAAAGTTTGTCCTTTGTTTCTTCTACTATGCCATGGAACAATGTCTCTCTCTTTTTTTTTTTCACAGCTACATGCCAGTCCCGTGGAGTAATATTAGGATAGCAAAATTTGGGGGTTGGTTGAGGTAGTATGAATCCAGACATTGTGCTCATAACCACCTGAAACCTCTTTAGTGGTCAGGACTTTAAATTAGTGTTGCCTTAATTCAACGTAAAGCATGGACTAAATTAGAATAGCAAGTCTTGCAGCGATTCACACATAATAATGGTAGATGTTCATTCCTGAATGTTTTGAATACAGGCACTGACATCAGCTAAGAGAGGCCCCAGGCATAGCAGTCAAGCAAAGAAGTCCCCTCACATTCTCCTTGGGAATTTGGCAAGCCATCTTTGGAGGCAAAAGATGAATTCATATCAGAAGAGGGAGAAAACCCAGATCCGGCCGAGCACTCAGTGGAAGGACCATCAGTGCAGGCTGAAGAGCTTCAGACCTCAGAAGAAATAGGAGCCTCCACCCCAGAGTCTATCCTCCTTTCCCCGACTAGCACCACGACTTACCTGCTGCAGCCACAACTGGGAGGCCCCAGGCAGTAGTGTCCACAGGAGGAGTACCTGCACTGCACATCAGGAGTCTCAGAACCTCCTGGCCTTTGCCCTGAGGAGTTAGCCTTAAGTCAGAAGAGGAGAGGTAGCCTCAGCACCTACACGGAGTCAAGGTAAGACACTGAGTGAGGATTGAGGGCGCTATCTATTCCTGAAGAGACAGTCCCACAGAACCTGCCCATTCTGTCAGTTGGGGAAGGTCCCCGGTGTGGCTGCAGGGCTCAGGCTCCATTTCACTTCCTACTCAGATCCAAGATCTGAGGCTGGCTGGCTCAGCTCAGCAGAGAGAGAAAGAAGTTGAAGGCTTAAGAAGATCCCATGAAAAGACTACATACCAACACCTCGTCTTTATCAAAACAATAAATGAGAAAATCCGGGCCAGGCTCAGTGGCTCAGCCTGTAATCCCAGCACTTTGGGAGGCAGAGGTGAGTGGATTGCCTGAGCCTTTGAGTTCGAGACCAGTGTGGGCAACTTGGTGCGATCTCGTCTCTACAATAAAGAAACAAAAAAATAGCCGGGGATGGTAGCGCATGCCTGTAGTTCCGGTTACTTGAAAGGCTGAGGCGGAAGGATCGCCAGGGCCCAGCTGGGGTTACCCTGAGCATGCCACTGCACTCTAGCCTGGGCGATGGAGTGACTCTGACTCAAAAAAAAAAAACAGCTGAGAGTCGTGGTGCTACTCAAGAGGCCAAGGGGTGAGGATCACCTGACCTCAAGAGTTCGAGGACGTGGTGAGCCTTGCAAGTGCCAAGTGAGTTCTCAAAGAAGTGAGCCCCTTCTCCTGACTACATGGGAGAACGCAAAGCTCCGCTCCTGCTGGGAGGGTGAGAGGATCGCATCAGCGTGGCTGTAAGTAACAGGAAATGACGTTATGTAAGTGACACACCCTGACCTCCACCCCCGGAGACTCTTCCGAAGTGGTGCCTTTGATCTACAAGTGCAACCTCAGATCAGCAGAGGGAGGCCTCTCCAGTAAGTATCCTGAGATAAAGCTGCCTGGACACTCCCTCGACCACCGCAACACCCTTCCCCCTGAAAAGAGGAGGGCGCGCTGAGCTCTGCCATGCCCGGACCCATTCCGAGTCCCCCGCCCCCGCCTGCTCTCCTCCCTTGAAGCGCTAGGCATGGCTGTTAGGCCCAAAGTCCATTCATTTTTCTGTGAGGTCAGAGGGATTCAGGACCCTGGTCTGAGGCTGGTGGTCTCAGGTCAGCAAAGTGAGAAACGGCAGACGCTATGGGGTTAATGTGAGGACCCTCCTGGCAATTGAGGGGAATGCGTGCCCCAGAAAAGGGTCACACAAAACTCCATACCTGATGTCAGCCTGAGGATCCTGGCAGGTCTAAGGACTCAGGTGCTCTCATTTTGTTCTTTGGATAATGGGGAGGGGGGTGTAAGAGTCTCACTGTCATTTGACGATAAAATCGGGACAGTTTTCAGACAAGCATGTAAAAAAGGTCTATTCTGCTAGGCACAGAGGATTCCATGGTTAGCAAGATGCCTCCTGAACTCAACGAGCTTGTTGTTGGGGCTGACAGCTTAAGGAGTGATGAGATGAATAGGACTAGGAAGAGACTGGAGACAGAGAGACCAGTTAGAAGGCTATGGATAGATTCGTTTGTCTTTCCCACAACCCGTAATGCTTTTAGGACACAAAGAAAGTAAACTGTAACCAACATCCACGATGCCTTCCTTTTTAAAGGGCTCAAAATGAGCACAACAATCATGTGACACTTGATTCTCCTGAGAATAGTGTACTAATGTAAACTATGGACTGGGCTTTATGGCTCAGCCTGTAATCCCAGCATTTTGGGAGGCCGAGGCAAGTGGATTGCCTGAGCCCACGGTTTCCAGACCAGCCCGGGCAACTTGCTGAGACCTCGTCTCTACAATAATTCAAAAAATAAAAATAACAAATTAGCTGGGCGTGGTAGCATGCGCTTGTAGCTCCAGCAACTTAGAAGGCAGAGGTGGAAGGATCACCAGGGCCCAGCTGGGATGGCCGTGAGCATGCCACTGCATTCTAGCCTGGGCGACGGAGTGAAAAAAAAAATAGCTGAGAGTGGTGGTGCACGCCTGTAGTCCTAGCTACTCAGGAGGCCTAGGGGTGAGGATCACCTGAGCTCAAGAGTTCGAGGACGTGGAGAACCTTGCAAGTGCCAAGTGAGTTCTCCAAGAAGCGCCCCTTCTCCTGAACACAGGAGAGCACAAAGCCCTGCCCCTGCTGGGATGGTGGGAGGGTCAGATGGGCGTGGCCGGAAGTGACAGGAAATGCCGTTGCCGGAAGTGACTCACCCCGACTTCCGCCCCACGAGGCTCTTCAGGACGGTGTACTTGGTCTACAAGGGCAGCCTCACATTAGCACAAGGAAGCCTCCAGGTAAGTATCAGGAGGTAAAACTACCCGGAGACTCCGCCGACCAATGCAGCACCCTTTCCCTTGCAAAGGGGAGAGCATGCAGAGCCTCGCAATGCCCTGCTCCACCATGCCCAGTGCTGCTGTCCTCCCTGGAGGCACCAGGCATGGCTGTTAGGCCCAGAGTCCCTTCATTTTTTTCCTGGGGTAAAAGAGATTAAGAGCCTTGGTCTGAGGCCGATGGACTCAGGTCACCAGAAGGAGGCCTCTCAGGTAAGTATCCTGAGGTAAAACTGCAGGGAGACTAACCTGATAACCGCCCTCCATCACCGTAACACCATTCCCCCCGAAAAGAGGACGACATGGGAAGCTCCACCATGGCCCGCCCTTTGCGGTCTATCCCTCCTGCCCCCACTGTCCCGCCTGGACCCTCCACCTCCCCACTCCACCCTTCCCTTCCCTGCCCCACCTTGCTCTCCGCCCTGGAGGCGCCAGACATGATCGTTAAGCCCCAAATCCATTCATTTTCCGTGGGGTCAAAGGGATTAAGGACCTTGGTCTGAAGCTGGTGGACTCAAGTCAGCACAGGGAGACCTCTCAGGTAAGTATCCTGAGGTAAAACTGCCCCGACGCTCCTCCGCAGCACCCTTCCCCCGAAAACAGGAAGGCACGCAGAGCCCCGCCGTATCCCGCTGCTCTGCTCTCCCCTCGCTGCGGCCTGCCCCCCTCGCCATGCCCTGCCCACAGCCCCCCAACACGCCCTGCTCTCCTCCCTAGAGGTTCCAGACATGACTCCTAGGTCCAAAGTCGATTATTTTCCCATAGTGTTTCAAAGTATTTAAGTGCCTCGGTCTGAGGCTGGTAGACTCAAGTCAGCACTGGGAAGCCATTCAGATAAGTATCCTGAGGTAAAACCACCCGTACACCCCACCCCCGCCCCCCGACTACTGCAACACTCCTCCATCCCTGAAAACAGCAGGCCAAGGCCCGCCCTGCCTCCCCCTCCCCACTCTCATTCCTGGAGTACGAGAGATGACTGTAAGGTCCAAAGTCCATTCATTTTTTTCCGTGGGTTCAAAGGGATTAGGGGCCTTGGTCTGAGGCTGGAGATCTCAGGTCAGCAGAGGGAGAAATGGCAGGCACTATGGAGTTAAAGGGAGGAACCCTATGAAGATCGAAAGGACTCATGCCGCAGAAAGGGGCTACACAAAACTGCATACCTGTTGCCAGTCTAAGGGTCCTGACAGGTCTAAAGCCTGAAGTGGTCTCACTTTGTTCTTGGGAGAGTCAGGGAGGGAAGGGTTCCTTGTTCTAAGGGGTTGACAGGCGGGCAGCAGAGGAAAATTTCTGCGTCAAAGGAAGACTCAGGGTGAAGACTCTGATCTCTGTGAAAACCACCTTCCTTATAACAACAGGGCCGTTCTGGTATCTCCCCTATGTCAGAATTGGCCGACCTGGGTGTCCCCTGACTAAAGTGGTGGACTGAAGTGCTTCTTTATTTCCTCCTCCTTGGCACCATACATGTTTGCAGTCTCAACATCAGAATAACAAAGGAGATTGGGGGTCTGGTGCTTGTCAGTCTTTGATACGATGGTCCCGAATGTAAACTGAGAGGCCTCCACCCCTGAGCAGAGGAGGCCCCGTGGCAGCCCTACTGTCACTCCAGTAAGCCCCAAAGTGGGCTTTCATGCAGTGGCCTAAGACTCACTCTTATTTTCTCCAGAGTTCCAAGGAAACAGACTGACCAGGGAAACAGGAGCCCTGTGTGTAACTAGAGCAGTGCTGTCCAAGAAATCCACAGAGGAGGCCCCAGTTAAAGCCAAGGTGGTTTCTCTCTGCTGATGGTGCTCACACATGTCATTCTCTCCCATCCAGGTGCCTACCTTGCCAAGCTTCCTCCACCCGTTACTGCCTGTTATCCCTGACCACAGCCATCATGCCTCGGGGTCAGAAGAGTAAGCTCCGTGCACGTGAGAAACGCAAACAGTCCCATAGGCAGAACCGGGATCTCAGGGGTCTTCAGGCCACCGCCGAGGAGAAGGACGAGTCCCCCTCCTCTTCCTCCTCTCCGTCTGATTGTGAGGATGCGTCCCCAAGCTGCCCTGATGCCTACATTCCTCAGAAGTCTCAGGAAGTTCCCCCCACTAGCTCTCCTGATGCAGTCGTTTCATGCACAAGCTCTGATGTGGAGTCCAGGTGTGAAGATGAGCAAAGTGCAAGCACCTTCCAGGAAGCATGGTCCACTGAGTCACTATACAGAGATCCTCTGATCAGGAAGGCGTGTAACTTGGTGCAGTTTCTGCTGGAGAAGTATACAAACAAACAGCCCATCATGAAGGCAGACATGCTGAAGGTTGTCAACAAAAGGTACAAGGAGCACTTCCCTGAGATCCTCAGGAGAACCTCTGAGGACATGGGGGTGATCTTTGGCCTTGACTTGAAGAGAGTCGACACCGACGGCCTCTCCTACACCCTTGTCAGCAAGCTGGGCCTCTCCACCGAGGAGAGTCTGAGTGGCGATAGCAGGTTGCCGAAGGCGGGTCTCCTGATGATGCTCCTGGGTGTGATCTTCGCGAAGGGCAACCGTGCCACAGAGGAGGAGATCTGGGAAGTCCTGAATGGGCTGGGCTTATATGCCGGGAGGTGGCACTCAATCTATGGAGAGCCCCGAAAACTCGTCATGAAAGACCTGGTGCAGGAAGAGTACCTGGAGTACCGGCAGGTGCCCGACAGTGATCCTCCATGCTATGAATTCCTGTGGGGTCCTAGAGCCCACGCTGAAACCAACAAGATGAAAGTCCTGGAAGCTCTGACCAAGATCAATCACTCTGAGCCCTGGGACTACCCAGACCTCTATGAAGAAGCTTTGAATGAAGAGGAAGAGAGAGCAAGAATGAGAGGTGCATCTGCGGCTGGCCACGTTGCCATGGCCAGGGCATGTTTTGGGGCCACGGCCTACAGCTCCTCCCACACCTAGTGAGGTCTGTGGGAGAGTTTTCACTTCGTGTTTAAAAAGAACTGGGAGCCTTCTAAGTAGTGCAGAGGTGCCAGGGCTGGAGACAGCAAGATGTGAATCTTTTTCTTTCCTGTTATACATGAATAACTTTTAGGTTTACCTTTTTCAAATTTTTTGTAATTTTTAAAATGTTGGGTTTTTTAAACTAAAGGTTTATATCGTTTCAAAATACCAGTTTCTTAAGGTCATTGGTCACACATTTACATCTGTTTGTTGGTTTAGACCTAAGAGTTGTGCTATGTTGTGGTATGTCAAAAGAGATTGATAGATGGCATTGGGATAAGGATTTTTATGGATATGTGATAGAACCCCACTGGAAAATTTTGGGGATCACAGAATGGTGAAATAATGCGAGAGTGGTACATTTGTATCTTTCTCTCTTGTTTTAATCTTTGCTTATACAAATAAACTTTATAAAACAATATTTGCTTTCTTTATTCAGACTGTTGAGAAGTTAAAACCTAATGAATAAGACATTGTGCTCAATTTTTTTAATTTATATTTTTGTTAGTGTTTTCCAAACAGCAACGTAGTATCTGCTCTTTAAAGGGCTCTCTGATGCTACTGGGGATTGTAAGCAAAAGATGATCCAAGCCGGGCTCGGTGGATCAGCCTGTAATCCCGCGCCTTTGGGAGGCTGAGGTGAGTGAATTGCCTGAGCCCGCGGGTTCGAGACCCGCCTGGGCAATTGGCGAGACCTCATCTCTACAATAAATCAAAAATTAGCCGGGCGTGGTAGCACACGCCTGTAGTTCCAGCTGCTTGGAAGGCTGAGGCAGAAGGATCGCCAGAGCCCAGCAGGTCGAGGCTACGGTGGCCAGGAGTGGCCACTGCACTCCAGTCTGGGCGACAGAGTGGGACTCCAACTCAAAAAAAAGAAAGAAAAAAGATGATCCAACTGCTGCCTATAGAATTCTAGAGTCTAGCAGCATCTATGATCTAAGGAAGCTGCTGAGATAATATCTAATACACGAAGAACAAGTAAAAACAAGGGAGGAGGAAGAGAAGATTTCACATGGAAGTATTCCACTTTAAATTACCTGATCAAGGAGGTTTGGAGTCTTAGGAAACTACCAGGCTTTCAGTGGGAATACATTTTAAGTGCGGCTGCATGGTGGGCTGGATGAGGCTGTGGGGTGGCGGGAAGGGGCTAGTGCCTCTTAGAGTCGTTGAGAGACAAAGCATGAAATGACAAATAGAGCCTAAAATTTACTTTGAAATCGGGTATATCAGAAAGAAGTTCCAACACGAGTCATGAATAGAAAGCGGCCCAGGCACTTGCCCCAGTGCACAAACTAGGTGTTTTGGGCACATTATCCAGGTAGTTTCTGAGAAATATGAGTGATACTCCCTTGACATGAGACACCAACAGGCCACTGAACTGTCACTCTTGTGCACTGGGAGAGACGGAGTTTGCTCCATTAATACAGCATTTGCACTGAGTTACTTTGAGTGTATTTTGTCAGAATGTATGGGAGAGCTAGGTGTTTAGTGTTGAAGGAGAGAATAAAATGGGTGGTTTTGAAGGAAGGGCACCTGGGAGGGACATTTTGACTTTGCCCCAAAACGGGAACTTTGAGTTGCCTCTAGAAGAAGAAGACAACCTTACGCCCAAACTTAATAACATGCTCCAATGAGGAAACACTACTTGGTTTTATTGGTTTGGCAGCATTTTGGCTAATGTGGATTTCTAATGTCATTTGGAGTATTTGCTAATATATTTTGGAAATAAAATTCTGTGAGGGAAAATAGTTATCATCATTGGTGCAAATAATCTTAGTAATAACTGCCATTCAAGATCCGGTCTTTGCCTTCCTCTCTGCCAGATGACACTCACACCTTACATAGATGTCTAAGTCCTGCGTGATAAGGTTTGTCAGACTGATTCTGCAGATAAAGGCCTTGCAATTTTCTCAAGTGCACAGGGCTGGTACGTGATAGAAGTGGACTATATCCTGGCTATGAATTTCTCTAGAATTTACCCTGTTCCATTCCTCCCGGCCCAAGGCAGGCCCTTGTGTCACTTACTTATTTTCTACTCACTACTTCCAAATATTTCAGGTGATACAAAGTGAGGTTCTGTGCCCCAAATACCTTTTTGGGATTCACATTCCAAGAAATAAACAGTAAAAATACCAGAATGCCTGAGAGATGTGAATAAAGAAAGAAAGGAATATCGTGATAATATCATTATCGGCCAAGTCAGTGTCAAAAACCTCAAAAGATCAGGGGTTCACAAAATCATCCTGGCTCCCGTCTCTTTCGGTAGACAGTAGATATGTTTAATAAAAGTCACATGAGAGGCTAAGTCTGTCGAATGAAGAGAAAGTAGAAGTCAGCCATTTTATTCTGTGGAAACACACATCCTGGGGTTTCTGCTGTGTGCTTCAGCTTCCCCGTCGCACATTTCTATCAGGACACAGTCTATGCTGCACGGTGGGCAGAGGGGAAACTAATCAAGAGTTTGGAGTTTTGCAGCATTTCCCCACAAACCCCTCATAGGTGGTATGGGAATCAAGAGGAAGGTTTCATAAATGAGAACTGAAGAGATAAATACCCCACATTAAGCAGTGTCACAGAGAGACCATTCTGTGTCTGCTTTCTGGCCTGGAAGGCTTGAAGCAGGGCTGTTATGCTGACTATCCCCTGACTTACTGTTAATGGGTCTCAGGGACATGGGAGTGTTGGTCTATATATGTGTTCAGAAGTTGAAAGAAAGTGGAAAGCCAGGGCCTGGGAGGAGTCAAGGCGATGACCCTGAGTGAGGACAGAGGGGACACCCTTACCCTGAACAGAGATAGCTCCAAGGAGCCTGAATCTTGATGCCATCCATGGGAGGGTACAGACTGGGGCAGCCTCATGTGGTGCTTCTTGGCTTTCCTTCTGGGGCCTCAGGGAGTGAGAAACTGGGTGTAAGGCTTTGTGACCTGAGATAGGAAGGGGAGGAATTTTATACCCTGCTTGTAGTCAAGGGCAGAACCATGAATAATGACTGAGAGGACCACAAATACCAGAATAGTGAGGGGGCACAGAGTCTTTTCCTGCCATCAACTCTGGGAGGGCTTGGTCAGGGCTACCCAGCTGATTTCTGCAGGAAGGGTCTCAGAGATGTGAGGGCATGGTCTGAGAGTTAGCAGAGAAGGGAGTCAGTCCCAGGCCCTGCCAGGAGTCAAGGTGTGGGTCTTGAGTGACAACTTAGACAGCCCTCCACCCTCATAACTGAGAGGAACACACAGAGCCCTGCCCTTACTGGCAGCCCCTGGATACCTGGGCATTGTTGACATGATGTGACATACTTCCTCCTCTGATGTCACAAGGTCATGAGGATCTTTGTGTGAGGGTTATGACCTGGGTCAGCAGTGGGAGGATGTACAGTTTTCTCCAGGGGCCACAGTAAGTACACTTAGGACTAAAGAAACCTACACCCCGAGCGGTGGAAGCATCACTTAATTCATCCATCGCTGCCAACCTTGAGAGACCAAAGACAGGTAAGTCAGATGAAAAGACTCTCACAGTTCCTTAGGGTGGGTTTCGGGGTGGTTTTGTCTTTAGTCTCTTAAGTATGAGGGGTCAGGCCTCAGGCCAAGGGAGGGAGAAGCTCCAGGCCATGCCAGGGATCAAAGCAAGTAATAAAGGAACCACCCATGCTTAAATAGACAGGGTGGAAAAGAATCTGGCCCCGTGCTGTTTCAGCCTTTGAAGATCCAGGGCGAGCTGTCAAACTGAATTTCTCCATCACTTCCTTAGGTCAGGTCTGTGGGAGATGAGATCTTTAGTCCGAAGGTGCAACTACCATTCCAGTTAAGGGGTTGGTGTTCTCACGGCCCTATTTGCCAATGTAATGACCCTGCGTAAGGACTGAACACCCCAAGGAGGCCGGGACAGAAAATTCTCCTCTGAACAGTCAGCACTGTGGGCACCTGGACTTCCGTCACCTCCCTCTTGTGGGTCACAGGGGGGTTTGCAAGGTCAACTTCAGTGTAGCAGAGGATATGGTTTGCATGGCCTGCTAACAGTTGACACGATGGTCTAGAGTGTGAAATAAAAGGACCCCTTAACCCCAAAGACTGGCGGCCCCTGTATTACCTTAAGGAAGGGGAGGCATTTTATACCCTGCTTGTAGTCAAGGGCAGAACCATGAATAATGACTGAGAGGACCACAAATACCAGAATAGTATACCTGAGGCGGGGTTGGCAGCCTTCAGCCTAAAGCTTAATCTAACTTCTTCACAGGTTTCCTAAAGGACAGTTGATCAGGAGCCTAGTAGTTTCCCAGAAGAGTTACCTCACGGGATAGTAGTTTCCCAGAAGAGTTACCTCACGGGAAATGAAGTCTTCCTTATACGCAGACTGAAATGTCCACGCTGAGGGTGCACACACCCTCTCAACTGCTCCTCTGTTGAGATCTCATTGTCTGTTCACTTACCTATACTCCAGTCTTCTGTGTTTGACAAGAGTCATCATGCCTCGGGGTCACAAGCATAAGCACCGCAATCGTCAAAAAAAACCCCGAGCCCAAGATGACACCCAAGGTCATGAGGAATCTCAAGCCAGCGCAGCAGTGGAAGAAGAGCCCCTGTTCCTTCCCTCCCCTGTTCTTGAGGATATTTCCCAGAGCTCCCCTGCTGAAGGGCCAAGTATCAGTTCCCAGGAGCCTTGCAGAGTATCACCCATCATTTCTACAGGCATTTTTAACACGCAATTGGATGAAGATAATAA